ATTTTAGGCATTGTCATGAGGCCTATAAATTCCCTCACCATATCAAGTCTTCTCCTCACTCAACTCTCCCTTCCATTTTACAAACCCTAAATTCCCTCTTCCAAAACCCTTCCCTCTCAAAGATGGCAACCCATTTCCCTATCCTTCTACTCGCCATCTTCCTAGCCATTGCAACTCACCAAATCCAGGGAAGGCCTTTCAAACCTCAAATGCCTCTCCACTCCTCTCCGAGCGTCGTCGGTTTCGGCCAGTCTGATACCGGTAGCAAAGACGATTTTCGCCCGACAATGCCTGGAAACAGCCCTGGAGTTGGCCATCATTCAGTCAAGAAAAGCGGCAGCGGCAGCGGCGGAGGCGGTGGCGGTGCCCAATCGGAGAACAATATGGAAGGGGTGAAGGATGATGATTCAAGGACCGCCGGCAGCCGCCATGCTATCCACCGCATTGCTTCAAAACCAAATGCTTAGAACAATAAGAGATAAGAAGTGTTGTTGTTTCTGCCATATTTTGTTTTGGGGTGTGTTGTGGCTTCTTCTTTCTCAGCTTCTTAGTATGGAAGTGAGTGTTTTATGTGTGTGTGTGCTTTTACCTCTTCTAGTGGGTTAAGTTTATGTATTTGTTCTTATGAATATTTCGTGGTATTAAACATTAAATTTTGTTGAACAATATAGAAAGAAACCTTAATTTCATCAAACCTACCTACTTAATATAACCTCCTACTTAGTAATGTTACTCATTTATTATTTCATGTAGTTTATTTAGTGAACAAAAAAGTGCCCATAAATTTACTTAGGTATTAAATGCAAGATGCTCATATACATTTTCATAAACTAATATTTAAAACAACAAATAAAAATTTCATCATAGTCCATAGTAATATTTTTGTCAATATAATATAAAGGAAATATTAAATTTTAAAAACTAAGTAGACCAAGTAAATAAAGTACATAAAAAAAAATTAGTTTATGTCGAGGTGAACCAAGTTCAACCACTCAAGAATATTAATAACTCTTTTAAACCTTGTAAGATGAAATTTGAAAAAAAATTGTTATTTATATATTTTTCTTTCTAACAAATCTAACCAACAACGTTAAAAAATGTTTCATTAAAATTTTTAATTTGAAATCTATACTTGAATGCCCCCACATCATTTTTGAAATCATATGCAAAATCTTGAATGCGTCAAATCTTAATGAGTATTTTTCGAATTATTCCGGCCGTGTGTCACATTATTTTTCAGGTAAAGTTAAGGCGCACTTGTACATAGGTAAAGGTAAGGCACACATGTACACCGCACTTGAAAAGAGGTAAAGGTAAGACACACTTGTAAAGAGGACGGCAGCATCGCAAGCAGAAACTGTGCATCTGCATAGGATAGAAGGTGCACTTGTACAGAAGTATAAGTAAGGCACACTTGTACAAAGGACGACGACATCACAAGCAGAAACTGTACATGTGCATAAGATAGAAGGTGCACTTGTACAGAGGTAAAGGTAAGGCACACTTGTACAGTGCACTTGAAAAGAGGAAAAGGTAAGGCACACTTGTACAGAGGACGACGGCATCACAAGCAGAGATTGTGCATGTGCATAGAGTAGATTCATATTTAAATTTTTTTAGGTTAGGCATAGGGTAGATATTTAAATTTCTACTTGTACGGAGGACAACAACATCACAAGCTGAGACTGTGACATGTGCATAGAGTAGATTCACGTGCATAGTGTAACAGGTTGTTATGCATTTTTTTATTTTAAATTATTTTGTGTTGCTTTTCATTTTTCTAAACTTCAGTATTTCGTATTTAAACACGTAATACCATGACTGTGATTTCTAGAAAAGAGTATGTTTTAAATATTTTCGACATCCATACTATAGATGAAATTTACTTTTAAGAGTTATATTTCCACATTAGAGACGAGCACAAGACGTTAGTACTAATTCTAAGTACGTAAAAATTTAGGGTGGTTACATTTTTAGCAAGAAGAAAATAATAATGTGAAAATTAGGTGACAAGCGTTTGAATTGGGATAGAGATAAAAACATGTAGGTTTAAGAATTGTATAATGAAAGAGTAATTATATAATGATGTATGCTTATAAAATTTTGATACGATCATGGGACAACACAAAGTTGAAGGGAACGACAAAGAATATATTAAGGTACATACAAATATTGAGTACAAATAATTTATTGAGAGAGAGAAAAAGGAGGGTACATAATGTGAGGAAATAGTAATAAACACTGAAAAGGGAATATAAAAAAGGTTACCATTTGCGGCAAAGGAAACCCATTAGATATTTGTTAATAAATTAAACATCACGCCTTTTCATATCTCCTTTTCTCTTCATTTTTTTTTTTTTATTTTCTTTTAAATTTAATTAATATATTTATTTCAAAACATGATCTTAAATGATGCATTTTCAAGTAGTGGGAAAAGTCAAAATTATACGACAGAGAGGCCTATGTTTCGACTCAACTATTGATCGACTTGGGTAGTGAACGATCGTAAGATGTAAGGTGAAGTCAACTCTTCTTAAGTGGAGGCAGTTGTAACAATAGATCCAATTCACCCATAATCGGGGTGGAGATAGACTCGGAGTCGAAGGGTATCAAAGAGCACCCCAACAAAAGAGTAGAGTCCTAAGGCGAGGGCCCTACAATCAAAATTACTTCAACCGACCACCTATCTCCTGAGGGACCATAGAGTATACGAGTGCCCAAGAGAGCGACCCTTCAGGCTGCATTAGACGTAGACTTAAAATCGAAATTTGAGGCGGTAAAGCAGAATATCATCATCAGAGATCATAGACAACCCTCGTATGGGAGTCCTTAAATATTTGTTTGCCCTTAAGAAGAAATAGGGGGAGTCAAAAGAGCCATGAAATAGGGGGAGTCAAAAGAGCCCATTAAAAAGGTCTCATGAATGTAGAGGTATGGGTTAACCATAGATGGACTAAAAGCATAATGGTCGACTCTGGAACCACCCACAATTTTATGATCGAGATCGAAGTCGAATGATTGAACATAAATTGGCACTGAGACTAAGGGAAGATGAAAATCGTCAACTCCATGACCCTACCTATGTTGGGAGTAGCAAAGAGTGTCGCCCTCAAAGTCACATGTGCTTACTTAGAAAAAGTTTCACCGTGGTCATGTTTGTCCAAGCCGTGTTGTCCATGGTCGCATACCTGTTGCATATCAAACCCCTCGTGTTGCACTACTTTACCACATTCTTTTACAACTCTAATTATTTACCGTTTCTTATTATATATATATATTTTTTTTATTAGTATGACACTTCGCTAAAATCATGTTTACGCCTGGTAGAGACTTGAAATGCCTCGGAATGTACGGTAGGAGATGCAACTAGTAGTCAATTCTTCCTACTTGGAGTTATATGTTGTCTAAGCCGTTGTGTTACTTTTCTTGCATGCTAGCTTATAACATTGCTTTCGGTATTGATTCCAACCTTTCTTTCAACCTCTCTTTCTAAAATCCTTATGCCCCAATTTTCAAGATGAGGTTAGAGACATGGGTATACGTTATTCGACAGAAGGCAACACGAATTCAAGTTGCTTAACTCACTTAATGGTGAGAGTGAATGTCGCACAATCGCTGGCAAGCATCCCGAAAAATGTGTGAAAAATGTGTGATTGTGACACTGTGCAACTATAGTGGTGTCCTTTAGAGCGAATGGTCTTCTTTCCTATCATTTTAATATTATTTTAAATGTTGCTTCATAACATCATGAATATTGTTGTGTACTTTTTGAAATTAGGTTTAGGTCAGATTTATTATTGGGTTTGAAACTTTAAATTCTTTGCGTCTCATTTTACAAAAAAAAATTACCGCCTTTTAAACCTTAAGTCTATGAGACGTCCTACTGTTAGAGAGATCAAAAAGAGGGTCATTGCAAAAAGTTATCATCTAAGCAGAAATTCCTTGATTTTATACGAAAAATGTTGGAAAAAGAATGAATATTGTCAAATACTCATTAAATGACTTTATTGTTGTGGTAGAAAAATGCAATCATATAGAGATCTAAATTTGTGACTAACTTGAGACTCTACTTTTATTTTTGGGTATTATTAGATGCATAGTACTTGACACAGTCCACACACATGCACGTTAATCCACTATGCCGCTCATTAACATACCTCTTAGGTATATGACTACGGACTAATGCACGTTCATGTAGCAAAAAAAACAATGAAAAACAAAATAAAAAACAAAAATAATATATAAACGTAATTGTATAATATATAACTGGAGAAATAATACATGATTATATGAGCATATAACAACTGGAGAAATATAACTGGAGAAATAATACATGACTATATGAGCATACAACATACAGGATGAGGTACAACAATTAATAGTAATTGAAATAATGCATATACTTCAACTAATCATTATCATGAGACATGAATTCATAGCTATGTGTTATCATGCCTCAAGCAATTCATCCAGCATAGTCCATAGTCCGTTGCAACCCAACTGCAAGTCCACTTGCCTTGATAAGCTTAGCATAATGCTTGTACACTCATGTTAGCTGGGCGTCACATAAGTTCAATCCCATTCAAAACAATCGAGAAATTGTTCTTAAAGCCTAATCATATAGCTACAACCACCTAATTCATATAAAAATCACCCCTAACTGGTGGACATGGGTTGAACCTTTGGGCTTGGGTTGGTATTAGCTGAGTAGGGATCGTGAGCTTGGGCTTAGCTAGGATGATGGTCGATGTGTTGAGCTGTTGAGAACGTGTTGGCTTGGAAAGGCGAAATCTGGTTGCTAGATATCTTGTAGGTTGGATCTTGTAGGCTACTATGGGCTTCTTCTCCTTTACTCCAGAATTCAAATTTTTACACGACAATGCTTTAAGAATGGCAATCTACTTCCACGGTGGTTTTGTACACCTCGTTAAACAACAAATTCAAGTTTTTGAAGCAAACTGTGATTGTACTCTACAATTGACATGGCAGGCCATTTTTTGATCAAATAAATAGATTGATATGGTGTTTTATTCATTCATACCCACTTACTTAACTCAAGTAATTACAAGACCCGGAAGCCTTGAAACTGACAGCAATCAAATAAATACATTATGCCTACAGCTTATGGTGTTTTATTCAGATCACCAAATCAAATTTTCACCGCAGATAACCAAAAAACAATAGAAGAACTAACCTTGAACTCAAAATATAATATCCTCATCCTTCTCACCAGCTGCAGACAATAGACTGTAAGCTGAACTTATGGAGACGCCCTTCTGCAATGACACCTTCTCAGCAAGCTGTTCCTCCGCATATAGCTTGGCGTTGGCTCGTTGTCTCTCGATTTCCCTTCTCTTATAACCCTGAATCTTTTTCAGTCTAAAGAAATCCTCCCTTTCTAGCTCGTCCAATTCTCCCTTGATGTAACTTATAGTATTCTCTATCCTTGGCTTCACCACATTCTCTAGAGCGTTAACCCTGCGGTTTGTGGTTTTAATTGCCTCGTCAAGAGTCAAAAATGACGTCTGAAGTGAAGCAAGCTCAACAAGAACCTCAATTGCCTTCACATACGCGCCACGACATAGCTGGATCTGTTGTCCACCCCTGGCTAGCCCTGTGAGATCATTTTTGGTCTCACCATCCGAATAATGTTCAAATTTCGGGAGTTTTACACCAGCAATGTTGTCCTGCCGAGATCGAATCTTAATAGCTGCATTTTGGACATTCTCAAGGACGATATGCTTGATGTTGTCGCCAGCAACATATTTCGCTTCGGTAAGAGAAAATGAAGATGTCTTCATGACTTCTCCCATTGACTCCTTAGCTGAGACAATCTTCTTGAGTATCTGACGGAACTGAACAGTCAAAGCATCACTCTTCTTCTTGAGGAGAGCATGACCTCTGGTTGCACCAATAAGACGAGCTTTCATCGCTCCAAGCATTGTTACTGTTGGAACTACATTCAAACGCTGGGTTTGGCCCGACATCTTTTACAATATCTAACAACAAGAAGACAAAGCAAGGTCGCTATCAGGGAAACATAACACAATCACTTGCAATGTATAGTTGCATGAAAGTAAAAGTCAGCACACTTGGGTCTACTTCGGAACATCCTGAATGTAATAATGAATCAGTTATGCAATGAGCGAAATTTAACCACTAACGTAGAACAAGTGAAAATATGTCATCAGAAGTCCATCATATGTTGTCCTTAGCACCATTAAAGTCACAAGGTTTGTAGTCATTTGCTGTTTGCAAGGGGGGTCGGGACATGAATAACTAGTAAGCAAGCACACCAAAGGAGACAGGCACAACTTTCATGTGATGTCACAACAAATTAAGTCACACAAGATGCTCCTTAAATACCGTATAAATAGTCAATCCTAACAACAAAAAAAAACCTCGACACCACAAGTGACATATCAGCCCTTGACTGATATGAATCCAACCACTATTCATTGCAGGTACCCGAAGGAGCAATTACAAGAAGCAAGACAAAGAAGATTTAAGTATCAAATCAAAAAAAGAATAGAGTGAGTCGTCTTGGAATAGACCATCATAGACTCCAAGTTCGATCTAAGAGTTATTCATCATTCTAACTAGCTCTTAGTCGTCTTGGAATCTAAGAGTGACCATCATAGACTCCAAGTTCGATCTAAGAGTTATTCATCATTCTAACTAGCTCTTAGTTGGAATCATTCGTTAAACTAGCTTTTATTCGTGAAATTTTGCAAGGATCTTAGAAAGACCTCTAGCTTTGCAAAATCCAGCATGGCTGATGCTTATCATATGACCAAAGGCATTGATATTCACCTATAATCCTTTCTTTCCTCACATACGGATTCTATACCCTTGCACCACATATGCTTTTCACGTTACATCTAACATGTATAGCCCTATGCTTTTTAATCATGAAACGTGTAGTTTTTCAATGTTTACACAAAAAACACAACCCCAACAACTAAAGAGCCACATAACAAAGGTCAACAAGTTTCTGTAAGGAATGTTCTCACAATTCTATTAAACCCATTCATCAATCACATGAAATTTTGAGCATGATAATACCCAAGCCAAAGTTCACATAGCAACACATGAAATTTTCAGCATGTTTTTCCAATACATATCATCATTCAGGGAAATTGAAACAGTGCATATCAAATTCCAATCAGTGGTTTACTTGCTGTCCTAAGCGCTCCTAAAATCGGATCGAACCGATACTAAACCTTTAGTAATGAAAAAAGAGGTTAAGGAAGTAGAATAATGAGGATTAGGCAAGAAAATTGTAGATTCAGATCTAAAGAGGATCCCCAGTTCAGATCTGGTTTGTACGAATCGAGGGGGAAAGAATACTAAGGTGTTGGCGAAAAGAGGTTATAAATGAGAAGAAAACTTAAGGTTTTAAACTCCATTTGAGAGAATTGATTAAGGACCCAATTCATGAAATCATAAGGAAAACTCCCTTCCTTCAGTTCAATCCGTGTAGATTATGGAGGCAAACCAAAACCAAAACCAAAACCAAAACCAAAAAAATCTCAAAATGGAAGCAAACACCCAACAATGGTAAATTAAGTAAAACGAAGAGGCAAAAGGAGAATTAAAGAAGAAGCTAACCTGCGGCCGAGAGGGAGAAATGGAGAAGAAGGAAAGGGGAAAAGGAAAAGGAAAATGGTGCAGACGGTGTGCGTGGGCGGGGCGGTGGCGGTGGCGGTGGCCGTGGGCGGGGCAGTGGGAGGGAGAAGAGAGGAAAGGGTTAGAACTGGGAAGGATTTTGGAGTTTTCTGATTACTTAAATATTTATAAATATATTCACAATAAACATAAATGGAAATGACAGAGGTTCTTATTTTCCACTCTATTAAGATATATATATATATATATATATATATATATATATATATATATATAT